AGCGCCAGTGCCAGCAGAGGAGGGAGGGTGATGGTGCTGGGTGATGGTGCTCTGCCCCACGGGCAGGCTCTCCAGCCCTGCCAGATGCACCCTCAGAAAACCAAAGGCAGTGACTAGACCTTTAACCAGTTCTTTTCCTTCCCGAGTTAGTCTGGTTACCCCAGGGGGTTTGTGAAACATGAGAGTAGATGTTTGCGTCTATTCCCACTCACAGTTTTTGGATTACACAGGCTACAACAGCAGCTTCCGATTAGCCACGAGTCACAAAAGCCCTGTGCGGTGCCAGCTACCAGCTGCTCAAACGCTTTGAGAGTCTCTGAAAAGCATCCGCGAGCAAATCCCATCCATAGGCATCTTGTAATGCCGAGGACGGGAGGTCAAACCCTGGGACCGATGTACTGGAGGCCGGTGGGGCTGCGTCAAGGTGGTACCCCAAGGTGGTGGTGATGAGGGTGGCGAGGTGCTGAGAAATGACGCATGCTGATGTCCGCCTCCCTAACACTGTCCTCTTCCTTCACAGCAATTCTCGGCGCTGACTGAAGTGCTCTTCCGCTTCCTAACAGAGCCCAGGGAGGTAAGGCATGTGCGGAACACCGAGAAGTGCAGCTCTCTGGTGAGAAACATGCAGAGATAAGATCACTGTGTTGCTGCTCTTTCTCTTGAGCAGGTAGAAAGGTTTCTGACTCAGCTCTCAGACTTTGCCACCATGAATAAAATCAGCTTGGGCCCCCTGAAAAACATTGTCAAAAGTATTCTTCTGGTACCTAATGGTAAGTGATACATTTGCATACGCTACCCTGAGGGCAAACCGTTGCCTCCGTTCCTGCCTGCTGCTAAAGTGTCTTCAGAACTGCAGTGCGCTTGGTTTGTGCAGCAAGTGCTAATGGCAGCTGGTAAATGGCTTAGCCTTTAAGAGTCAGAAACTCTCCTCTTGAAATATCCCTGTTTGGTGACTCGGGCTTTGCATTCTTCACACCCGGCCTGCACACACATTTCACAGGCTTAACTGAACTCACTGAAACACGTGCATTAAATGCACGCCCAGCACCGACAGTGCTTGGTCTAACTGCAGAGCCATTTCTGCCAGGCCAGGGCAGCTGTATGTTGGCACTAAGTCTTCATAGGGACTTCCAGCCAAGGGACCCAGGACTGTAAGTCCTACGGGGACAAGCGCTGTATGAGACAGATAAGACAGCATACCCACCCCTCTAGAGCGGGCTGGAAACCAGCACGGTTCCAGGCCATGTGAAGGAGACATCTGTCCTTGCAGTCGTGTTTTAGAAGAACACGTGTGTGCCCAGCAGTTTCTCATTCATACGTAGCAGGGAAGAGGGGCAGGGGATTCCCCTCGAACACCCCAGGCTCCAGCACTTGATGGGATTACTCTGACGTTGTGGCCGCTGTTTGACACAATAATGCATCCGACACCTCCCCTGCATGCTCATCCCATCGATCCTTCGCGTTACCAGTAGTCCCTCGCTACCCTCCTTCAGCCCTGGGTTCCCCATAGCTTTCTCCACAGCAGCGAAGCCTCGCACACCGGTCTCCTGCCTTTGCTCTAAACTTTCCTTCTCCTGCTTCAAGCTGTTTCTTCCATCCAGGAGCAGCAGTGAATAATTTCCTTTCCCACAGCTGTCTCGGGGGTGTGTGGTGCGGAACTGGCGCTTTCTCCCTTCCCGAGCCTGGACTAGGTGCGCGCAGTCTCGTCGTTCCTGTTGGCGCTGGCTCCCGTCCCGTTGTAACTTCTCGTTAGCGCTGGGATGCCACGGAGAGCATCGGAGCAGATTACAGCAGATAACTTTGCCGATGTGCTACGCAGAGGGGAAGCCACGTGGGGCTGGCAGTCTCTTTGAATTTATGAGATTCCTGCTCTTGGCTTCAGAGAACAGAATCCTTGTAAACTTCCATGTGCTGCCGGCGCCCCAGAACAAAGGAGGCAGGCGCAGCAGGGGAAAGTGTTATATGCACAGGTTCACACCCATAATCCAAAACACAGCAGGTAGGTCAAATTAGTGGCCTGCCAGCCTTAACAGTTCTCCTTTAACAAGCAAAGCTTCTATAGGAGAGAAAGCAGCGACTTCAAAACACAACCGCTGCTGCTGTTGCCATGGGTACCCGCACTGAAATCTCGCCCTCTCCCAGGCACTCCCCGCGCCCTGACTTTTAAAGCACTGGGCATCTGCAAAGATCCCGGCGGGCGCGACTGCATTGCCTATCTTGACGAGCTGTGGTTTGCTTCAAAACACAGTCCAGGAACAGAGGCTCCCGAGCACGGGGCCTCCGTTTATTTGACTCGGTGGAGATTGGTTCGACTCAGTAAAAAGTGATTTTTCTTCTTTGCGTTGTTTATTCAGGTGCCCTGAAGAGGAATTTGTCTTCCGAACAAGTCAGAGCAGATTTTATTGCTCTAGGTAGGTCACCTGACTTGCACTAAATAAAAGATAATTAATATTTATCACTTATAGTAATCTCCTATGGTTTCCCCCACAGGCCTCAGTGAAGAGAAAGCCAGTTATTTTGCAGAACAGGTATTAATACATTTTTGCTTGTTTCTAAGCTAACAAAATTACAGTCTTTGAGCGGGAACTTGTAAAACCCCGCTGTGATTTTGAGATGTGTCAGCGTTTTGGGTATCTTCTTCAAAACCAGCTCAGAATTTTGAGCTGCAGATCCTCAGATAACCGACGAGGGTAACTTTGTCTAACGATACTCCTGGTTTGCTGTGGCCTCCACCTCCTCGGTTCCGCGATTCCAGCACTTCTGTGTGGCTCTGAGCCCCCAGGTCCTGCAGTTACATGAACACACGACTTCTTGCACAGATGCCATTACGCTGAGCCAGTGTTGGGACAAACCCAGCACATCTCACGTACAGAAGGGACATGGCAGATGGAGACCCTAGCAGGACCCGGACATCTCCAAAAGCCCTCCCGACCAGATTAGGCTGCCCCTTTACACACCTCCACTTCGGGCTTCTGCTGCCAGCCCACCTAGCTTCCAACCTATGCTGAAATTACAGGGAACATCAATAGAGGCCTCTCAGAATTGACTGCTTGTGTGTCTTTGCTCTTGCAGTGGAAGGTGAATTCCCCCACCCTAACACGCCTGGCTGTTGGTCAGACGCTGATGATTAACCAGCTGATAGATATGGAGTGGAAGTTCGGAGGTAATAGAGCTAAAGCATAAACCGAGTGGGTTGGGAAACCCAACAGCAGCTCCCAGCTAAACAACTCCTCATTTTGCAGTTTAGCTAACAGATTATCTCCCTTCTCTCTGACTCGCAGTGACTGCGGGGAGCAGTGAACTGGAAAAAGTGGGAAGTATCTTCTTACAGGTAAATCTCCTACATCAGAGGGTTCAGGTTGTAGTGCAGTTAGGGAACAAGCTGCGGCCAGGCATGTGGGCAGTACGGGCTGTGCAAGGAACTGGAGGAAAGCGAGATCTCGTAGGAACAGGCTCTGCAACAGCGCATCTGCTGCAGGCTTCCGAGCGCGGCCGCCGGCAGACAGCAGGCACGCTGCTATTTGTTTCTCTTCTGGAGACGCTGTGCATCACAGAAGTGTAGCCTGCTCCGAAAAGCTTTTCAAAAAGCTGACTCTAGCAAAGGTCACGCCAGCCTGGGGAGGGAGGGGAAACGTGATCATTTATGAGGACTTCCAGAGATCCTCCCAGTGCCTGAGGAATCCATTCCTGCAGTCACACTTCCCAAGAAGCCCGTCAGAGGTGTGCGTGCTTTGCGGCAGTCTGCCCCTCTGAGACTCACAGCAGACTCTTCTGTCTGGTCATGGTGCTCGGAATACAGGTCTCCGAATTGAAATGCCTCTGCTTTTTCTTCCCCCAAGCTGAAGCTGGTGATTAAAAAAGGGAGCCAAACGGAGAACGTGTATATAGGTGAGTTAACAGTTCTGGGAAAGCAGCAAGCACGTGAGTACGTGAAAGCGGAGCGGCAGCTCAGAGCTCCCGGGCGTTGCTGAAGGTGGGGGAGCTTTGGGCGCAGACCCAGCAGGGGCGACTGCGAGAGCATCACTGGCGGCCGCTGCGGCTGCTCCTGCCCTGGCCTCTCCCCGCCGCAGCCGCTCTGGAAGTGTTTAGGAACGCTGACTGCTGGGCGGTCTTCACATCTGTGCGTAAGTAAATACAGATCTGCCACGGAGCTGTGAAAAGCGGTCAGAGCAGCACAGCAGATGAAGAAAGCAAACAATTCCCAAGTGTTGGGTGCCGTTAAGAGAATCCCAGCCCAGAACCCCACGCAGCCCAGCTAGCGTAAAGAAACAGCTGCCCAGAGCCGCAGCCTCTAACCCTGCCTGGCTTGGGTGAACACGAGCTGCTCTGCCGCAGCACCAGAATGGCTTTTCCAATATTGGAAGTGTAACCTGAAATCTTAAGTCTTGATGCCTCTTTTTTTTTTTTTCCTTTCCTGCAGAGTTAACTTTGCCCCAGTTCTACAGTTTTCTGCATGAAATGGAACGGGTCAAAACCAGTCTGGAAAGCTTCAGCTGAAACAGCACAGGCCTGACCCAACATCTGCCCAGGATGTTTAATGTCTCCGTGGGAGGCTGCAGTACCTCTCCGTCCCAGCTGACTCCAGCACCCCATCGGACAAGGCTGTGCAGCAAGCGGCGGTGTCGCGGCCCCGAAGGACCCGTCAGTCCTTCATAACCCGGAACTTCAGCAAGTGTTTCACAGCAGCTACAAGTCCACTCATCTCTTTGTTTTTTTAACGCTATTATGAGAAATTGTGGTCAGAAATATGTGAATACTTGTATTAAAATAGCAAAGAAATAAACCCATTCCCATCCTGCTCTATTTGTACCAGAATTTGATTTTTGGGGGGAAAAGAGAAACAGAAGCAAAGAATGGTTTTCAAACTTGGAAGACATAAGCAGAGAGAACAAGGGAAGCAAGGAGAGCATCTAACCTGGTGAATGACTTGATGCTCGCTCCCAAGCCTCTCGCTTCTCTGGTACTGAGGAATGGATTGATTACATCCTTCCCAGTCTCCCCTCATCACTGAGAGGCATCTCCGCGGCAGACGATTTTAAATCTTAAACAGCCAAACGTCTGCCTCCACGCACAGGGGGAAAACCATCTCGGGGTGACCAATAGAGAGCATCTAACCTGGTGAATGACTTGATGCTCGCTCCCAAGCCTCTCGCTTCTCTGGTACTGAGGAATGGATTGATTACATCCTTCCCAGTCTCACCTCATCACTGAGAGGCATCTCCGCGGCAGACGATTTTAAATCTTAAACAGCCAAACGTCTGCCTCCACGCACAGGGAGAAAACCATCTCGGGGTGACCAATAAATCTGGTTGGTGTGTGCTGGGCCCCAGCCAGCAGCTCTTCCACCGGCAGTTTGCCTGACGTTGCAGGGGGAGATCCCGCCCGCTCCCTCCTGGACACGTCCAAACCCCAGGAAGCGCCACAGCTCCGCTCCAGTTGTCGAACGGCGCGGATGAGCTCTTCACCGGGAAGCAGAGGGGCGCCCCTCACCTGACATGGGGGCGGTGGAAGGTGTTAACGCTCACCGAGGTTCCTCCCATGCCAGACTCTTCAATTGTCCGGTGCCTCTTGGCAGCCCGAGCTCGCCGCAGCCCCCTCCCACGGCACAGAGCCGAACAAAGCTCCCTCTTACAGCACGCCCCATCCGCCGCCGGGATTTCCCGAGGCACCTCCGTGTCCCTGGTGAACCTGACGGTCACAGCAGAGGGAATAAACTGCAGCGCCAGGGTCAACACCAGTAAGATCCTGTCCGTTTCCAGCCCGTGCCTGCGGTAATTCACCGTCCCGTGGCATCCCGCAAGCCCGTCCTGCGGCTCCCTGTGCGTGCATCTGCTCCCGGTTAAAGCCGTGCACAAAAAGACAGCTCCTGTGAGAAAGGAGCCGCAAAGCTCCCTGCAGCTCAGCTTTACCCGCAGGTTTTCAGCTTGCAGGGAAGCCCACGATTTCTGGCATTGCATTTCGTGCAGTCCTGCATGAGTGACTGGAGCCGATAAGGAGCACTGGCTGAACTGTGTGTTTGGGAAACGGCTCGGGGAATCCTGCTGGCAAACCCGGGGACAGTATTTGCATATTTATTTTCCCACGTATCAGGCCATTCACAAGCATTTCAGGCTTTGTCACATGATTATGGTAAAAACTAAAAAAAAATAATAAATAAATAAAAAATTATTCCTCCGAAATAACACCCTGCAAAATATTCCATCTGCTTTTGGGTGGCAGGAAAAGCTGTTTCAGGGAGGAAGAAAGTGTCCGAAGGGCTGCTTTCCTCAGGACAAAAGGAATTATTTTGCTTTACATTTTCTGCTGCCTGTTCCTATGATTTCTCCTTACCCTCCTGATGCCAGGGCGGCACCGCTCAACCCTACGCGGTTACGGGGGGAGGTGGGCCACAGCAATGCCGGAGAAGATGCCAGGCCCAGTTGTGGGTCAGGAATCCGTGCCCCCCCCACGCTCCTCCCCCTGCCCGGTTGGGATTAAGCCGCTCGGGGCTGACGCACGCCGCAGCCCGCTGACCCCAAGCGCAGGGGTCACCTCCATGCTGCTCCGCAATCCCCACGGGCATCTCTCATCAGTGGCATTAGAGAGCAGTGCCGCCGTGCCCCTGGGACGTGGCGTGACCTTCAGGCTGCCACCAGCGCCCCGGTACCCTGGGAGCACCCTTCCATCCCACACACTCGGCTGAGCACGAGCCGAGCCAGCAGCCCCGGCGGGGAAGGGGGGCAGGGAGGGAGCCGGCTCCGGGGGGCCGGGGG